GGCATAGCAACACTGCGCTCATTGGCCGGCGGCCGACACACCCGGCCAATCGCAGGCCATATTCTAATCTACCTGCAGAGGGCTGGGAAGCGCAGCAGCGTGCGGGCGAGCCGAGCCGAACCGAACCGCGCAGTCCTCCCAGCGCGAAGGGAAAGCGTAATAAGTATTCCAAATGCATCCGCTTCCACCCCATAAAATTAAACTCCGGCATGGCCGCACGCAGGGAAACAACACCAAACCATTTAAACTCAAGCTGTCGGGAAAGGTTTGCATCTGAATCGTCACTGCGTCCAGAGCCCCTGGAGAGGTCCAACATCCCTGCGACAGCTTCATGTGAAAAGTACCTACAAGTACAAAATATTCGGGATGATCTTTTAATATTTTGCTTATTGAAGTAGTGCAGAACGCAAGCTCACAAGAGTGTTATTGATAAGGAAACGGGAAGAAAAGCACGAATTCGGCGCGACTTCATACTGTTTCTGCGTATTTCTCATTTGAGAGCGACTGTGCACCGCTCAGCGCTCGCAGATCTCGAGTCTGCGCAGCTACCATTCGGAGTTGCGTTTACCACATACCTTAAACATTTCACAAGATTACTTATGAGAAAAATGAGTGATTCTTGAACGATCAAGAAAAAAAATACTCTTTTGTTTGATAAGATAATAGAAGCCACCTTTGCAAACAACGCTAGGAATAATTCAATAGACTGCGATAAATCAGCGCGATATTTCTGCGGATTTTCCTGTGAATTCTGCGAACTGCATCATATTTTACTCCATGAATAAAACAGTGTCAGGTTCTGTAATAAAACCCTACAATCTGCGGTCCCAGGCGTCATCACCCCGCCTGCAGGACCCGGACAGACCCCGCAGCTCGTCCACGCTCCGTGTCCGCTGCTGCGAGCGAGGCTAGTCCTGTCCTCCACCGAGCGCAGCGGCGTGACCCGTCCACGCAAAACACGAGGGTGGTAGCCGGTCTGTGCTGAAAACACGGCCGAGGGCGCCCCCTAGCGCTCGTTACAAACAAGGACAAAACGCCGCTGGCGAAGGTGGGAGACATTTAAAGCAAAATTGAGGAGAATCACAACTCAAACTGTACGTTTTTCACATTTTAAAAAACGTTATGCATATGTGGTCAATACAAGTCTTTGGTCCGGCTGCTCCGGATTTATCCACGATATTGACTGCTACCCGCCGCACAGGGCTCCTCGAGCACCGTAATGAGAGCATAAGAAAGTTATAAAACAACAGGAGGAAACTCAGATCTCCCAGCCCGTTTGATCTCAGGATCTCATCCAAGTGCTTTCTAAAAGAAGCCAGGGCACTGGCTTCAGCAACAAAGCTGGGTGGCTTGTTCCAGGCTCCCACTATCCTTTGTGTAAAGACATCTCTGAGGCCCTTCAGCTTGTTGTCTGGGTCCTTCCCCAGACTCGCCCGGGACCAGCTGCCCCTCACCTGCCTGCACAGGGCCCTGTGGTGGGTATCCACTGTCCACTTGACAGCAGGGGTGTGGGGCTCCGGTCGCTCTTCTGCGCTTGTCCAGTGTGGGATGTTTGATGGAACCGAAAGCTGCTTGGGTAGTAAGGTGGCACAGTGGCCAGCACTGCTACCTCGCGGTGTTCAGGCCCTGGGTTCGATTCCAGACCTGAGGTGCTGTGTGTGTGGAGCCTGTATGTTCTCTTTGCATGTTCTGCTGGTCCCACAGTCCAGAGACATACTAGTCTCTGTGTGTGTGTGTGTGAGAGACTCCTGCCTTCATGCCAAGATGGACTCCAGCTCCCCCACGACCCCGAACTGTAAGAAGGGGTGAGAAAATGGATGGATGGGTGGAAGCACTAACCACGGAGTGCGTATGACAGAGTAACCAATAATTAATCACAGTGAGAGCAAGTAATACACTTTGTCTGCAATTTACTGAACCAGTAAAGGAAAACAGAAATCACAACACTCATCAAAACTCTTTCACAATATTTATTTACAGTGTTGTACGAATGGAGCCTCAGTGGTACAGTGTGGAAAAGGCTCGTTCCTACACGAGGCGTGAGGGAGGGATGAGAAGGGCAGGAGTGCATCATCACTGTAGGGGCCTGTGGTCACTGCTGGCAGGTTTCTCTGCGATCCTGCACAGCCCCGCTACACCCGAGCAGACGAGCCCCCTGCACACAGGAGCCTGGGACACATTCAGGGCACCTCCTGCCACAGTAACAATAGCTCAGCACGCTTGCCCCCGAGCACCTGGAGGAAGGGCAGATATCTTCTCGACAGCCACGCCAGAGCGCGGCCCACTTGCTCGCACCCTCAACAACCTGCACTGCCAACACACAGCTGAAGCACATTAACGACTAACCCAGCTAGGACACCTTCACTTGGCCTAAACCGAAACAAAAAATACATACAGGTAACACTAACTCCTGTACGTTGTGCTGGATAAAAGGCTCAGCTACAGAATTAATCATAAATCTATTACTAAAATTACTAAAATCATTTCAAACAAAGAGGCGTCGATATGTTAGTCCATATCGCACCAGCCAAGCTGTTTCGGTGTTGCGTTCTCCAGTCAGTAAAGAGCACTCGTTTCCCTCCTGCAGGAGAGATCCAGCCCTGGGGCTCGTGCTCAAGGTTTGATTTCTCCTGGGATAAGAAAAACAGCACCTTAATCCAGGCCTGAGTGTTTTACAGCAGCTCAACCCATCAATCAAGCAAACGTATTAAATCATCTCGGAAAAATCCTATCTTGTCCAATTGATTGGACTTGACTTGGCCAAATACTAAGAAGTTGAATCACCTGTTTTTTTTAGGCTCATCAAAACCGTTAAACAGTGGTCCATCCAGGACACAGATGGACTTACAAGGGCCTGCAGTTTGGAAAACCTGGAATGGCTCATCATGCTCTATCGGGATCCCTGGGATCGACGTTAGTGTAGGTGCCTGCGCTCGTGTTCCCAGCAGAACAGTTGAAATGAAATGACACAGCATAGCTTCTCGCTCATGGGGAGACCTCTCCTGAGGCTTGTTGTGAAACACAACCCCCAGGACCCCAGCAGCCAACCCAACAGCACCTGCACGAGCTTGAGAGAGTCCTGCTCGAAGTGTCCAAAATCACACCGCAGCACCTTTGAACCCGTAACAAAATACACTCTGAGAAAAGTTTTAAAAATAGAAGAATACTTGTACAAATACAAGAACCACAAAAATCTCCTTGAAATGAGATCGATTTACTCTGCTTCAGTCACATGTAGGCGGAATTACCCGATTCATTCTGGACACTAGAAATTCATCTTTCTCTGCAGTTACATTTTAGAAGAAAGATTTTAATTTAATGTAATTAAACCCCTCCTCTAATCTAATAGATTACAAGTGATTTTAAAGCTTCATTTATATTGTCAGAACAATGAAGTGACCGCCCTCTAAAAGTGTTAAACTCTTTCCAAGACAAAGACGTACTTGCTTTTATGTACTTGTTTGTGAATATTTCAGAACACTGAAAAATTCACAAACAGGATCGGAAACCAATCATCTTGATAAACATTTTGATTTGTGCAAATTATTGCTTCTTAAAATATTCCCAACAAGGAATATTCTCTTCAGTCAAACTCTCCATTATACAGATCCACTGTAAAGAGACACAGGGCTCCAGCAATAAGTTGTGCTCTTCTAAAACAATTAAAATAACCTTTTTTTGGTCGTTCTGTAAATTAGGATACTTTTACCACACAGGATCGCCTCTGTGCCAACCACGGTACTGGAAACGACTGACTGTATCAGACAGAAAACAATCGCCTGGTTCTTCTAAAAACTATTAAAGTCCTGTTCAGTCCATCTCACCTAGTGAGGGTCCTGTCTGCAGGGGGTCTTCAGTTCAACATCAGTGTGGTTCCAGCATGACTGCAATGGGCTCAGAAAGACACAGCTACTACATGAGCTTGTAAACAGCAGCCTAGAGCTGTACACCCAAACATTTACACCTATATACAGTGCCTTGCAAAAGTATTCAAATACTTTGCTGTGCAAACCTAAATTAATTTAGGCACACAGAGTTACCTTAATGACCAATAGAATTAGCTGAGTGAGCTCTGTCTGTGAGCAATAATACGAACACACCTGTCTGCTAGGCGCCTCTGTCGGGGGCCCAGCCACTGAAGAGATCCAACCATGAAGACTCCTAGTAAGTCTTTGAGCATGGTGAGGCTGACCTTTAACAAGTGAAAGGTGCTCAGACAAAATTGGTCTAAATGCAAAGTACAAAATCTGATTTAAACTCGACAGAGTGCATCACTTAGTCAGTCAACACAGCCCTATTGACAAGCATGGTGGAGGCAACATTATTTTATGTTAAAAGCTGCTTCAGACCTAAAATCAGGACACAAATTCATCTTACAGCTGGACAATGACCCAAAGCACAAGACCAGAGCTACACTAGGCTGGCTTAAGACTAAGAAAGTAAAGAAGTGCTCGAGTGGCCCAGTCCTGATCTACAGAGCATCTGTGGAAAGATCTGAAAACTCCTGTCCAGAAGTGACCCCCAAGCAACGTGAGAAAGTTTGTGCAAGTCTGCCCAGGAGAATGGGCTGGGACTGCACCAAGCCAGGGTGCAAAGCTGTCTGAGATTGACCAACAAAGACTGCTGCTTAAATTACTGCCAAATATCGAGTTCACAGGGCTGAGTACTTATGCAATCAACATCTTTCAATTTGGACTCTTTAGTTTTTACAGACATCTACTCTAACTTTGAAGTCTGCAGTTTGTGTTGCCAGATTTTGAATAAAACATTACGTTTAACAGCACATTATGAATACAGTCTGAATCATTTTGCAATTTCACAGAATGGGGCACCAAGGTCAGGTCTGAGGAACGGCCGGGACAGCTGGGTGGGCTTCAGGGTGGACGCACAGACTCTGACCAGCAGGGGCAGAGCAGGTCCCCAGAGTTTCCATTTCAGTCTAATCGTTTCATTTACCAGAAAAATCCTTGCCTACCCAGGTGCCGATGAATGCAGTTGTCATGTGACCTGGAATCAAGACTAATAATGATATCAATCAAATCACAATGCAGACTGAAACAACAGCTCCAAGTGCCAGCGAAGCCTGCAAGGACAGGCGCTGACCTCCCCCCCGCCGTGCTCCCCGCAGGAATGAGCGGACAGACGTGGACGCTGGCTCCCCACGGCTCGACAAACTGCCTCATCCGAGGGCCAGGAGGGAGCAGGAGCGAGGCTCTAGCTGGGGCTGTTCCTCTCCATGAACTCCTTCAGCTTGGTGGGGTAGTCTGTCATCACGCCCGTGGCGCCCAGGTCAAAGGCCCGCTTGAAGTCCTCCTCGTCGTTCAGAACCCAGACGTACACCTGGGAGAAGGGACACGCAGAGCTGGCTCAAGCGACTGTCTGCCCGGCCTGCGCACCTGCGCACACTGCAGTGATCTGCTACACACCACCTACCTGTATTCCTCTGGCAGTTAGATGCTGGAACAGGGCCTTTCTCATGAGCAGCCTGCGAAGAGAAGGACACCAGAAAGAAGAGCTGCCTTTCAACTCCTCACATAAAGGCCCTCCTTGACAGAGGATGCTTTTTAGAGGGAAGATCAGCTTTAAGTGAGCTTGCTAGGGCTGAATGATTAACCTGACTCAGACTGATGATCTACAATGGCCGGGCAAAACATTGCTGTTGTTTAAATGTATTAATGTGGCTTAAAATGTTCTGAAAATCTAGTGTTATACAGTACATCCTTATCTGCTCAAAGAGTTGTTTTGAGTAATGAACGTGTACCTGTGTTTAAGCCTTTAAACTTTTTAGTGCAAACAATCAGCATCCTCCATTCTCCAGCTCAGTCTGCACGGGGCTGCCGTGTGGCTCAGGGACGGTCCAGACTGCTGTCTGCCTGACTCCCGTGAAACAGAGCTGCTGGTCCGTGGAGTGCAGCTGTCTGCGGGCTGCCATTGACGTCACAAGACAGACAGCAGCCTGGAGCACAGAGCCCCACTCCTGGGCAGCCCCTTGTGAGCACGCCACACTGTACTTTAACAAATGGACAAAACTCAGGTCCTGAAAGCTAAAACAGGCAAGGACCGGGGAAAAGTGCAGCTGAATATGGGGTGTCTTTTTGATGTGGCCGTGATGAAGATGTGATCCTGGCTGAAGCTGGGGTTGGAATCTAGGGGAGTGCCAGCAGGGGGCGACGTAGAACTCACGCGTCAGCGAGCCAGGCGATGAAGCGTTGGCTCCTGGTCATAGTCTGGGGGTCCTTCAGCCTGGAAGGAAGGATTCAGTCAGCAGAGATTCTCCACACTGGGGCTTCAAAAGATGCAGCACATCAAACCCCACTACTGCTGCAACAGCCTAGCAGTCTGCACTCACACGGCCTAGTCAGCGTGTCCTGGATGGGTCTGGTCCTCGCGGGAGAGATAAGAACCAGCGAGATTCTGTAACTGAACGGGAACTTTCTTCCTGACAATGGAGAATTGCTCCAATGTATGGACAGCACAGCCCCTCAAAACTGTCCACCATCAGGGGGTAAAGGCTTCCTGCTTGGCAACCTGTACTCTCAGCATTTACAGATTTTGACACATTTAATTTGCTACAACCCCTGAGACGTTACTCGTCACTGTTCAGTATCTCTCTCAGCTCTTGTTCCCCAGCAATGAACCAATTTTACATGCAGTTTCCCATCAAAACACACAAGTTAAAGAAACTGACATTAAAAACCAAAAAAATTCTCATTCACTTGCATTTTGTAAGAAAAAAGTCCAAGGTTTATTTTAGATTATGGTCTGCTTAAAAAAAAATGTACTGCACTTTCTGCTGAACAGCACAGGAACAAAAATCGGCCTTATTTCACAACTGGTCCATGCTCATTAACTGATTACCTGCTGGGTGTGCTCAAAGCAGATTAGGAAACAAAGTGTATTTACGTAAGAGTTCAGAGACCATTTCACAAAGCACTAGTTATTCACTCAGTTAAATTATTCTCTCAAATAACTTTCAGAAACAAATTCAGGAAACCCTATCAGCTCCAGTACACCTAACGATGTGACAGCACTCGGATTTTGGCTACATAATATTCGGACAAACCACATCTCTGCAAGCATGTGGAAATACACACCAGACACCAGGGTCAATAGAACATAGGAAAGGTTTCACATGAGAGGAGGCCATTTCGAATATGTAGTTTGTATTGCAGTTACTAGCTAATTGATCGGACTCAGCTATGTTTTGGCTTAACTACATGGCAGGATAGCTTGCTCCAGACTCCCACAGCTCTTTGGGTAACAAAGTGCCTGCTGTTGTCAATTTTAAATGCAATTTCACAAAGTTTCCACTTGTGCCTTCTGGACTGTGTTTCAATGTTGAAGCTGAAGTTCACTGGGTTTTCTGTGTTAATGCCTTTGAAGATTTTTAATACAAAAATCCACTTGCGGGACTAAAAAGCATCATCCTGAGAGGGCTGGAGCGAGGGGAGCCTAACCCTGGCAGGCACAGGGCTCAAAGCAGAACTACAGGATGACAGTTCATCACAGTGCTGCTACTGCTGCTAAAAACACAGGGTCACTCAGGCTACAGGGAGGAAACAGGCCAACCTGATTGTCATTACCAGCTGTGTCCTGCATGAGTGGAGACACATCACTTGCTCCACATCAGTTAACAAACACAGAACTGTAGATCCTCAAAGAGTTAAAAACAAAAAAGATACAGAGCAGAGAAAAAGGAATAGGTAAATGAAACTAAGGAAATTGAATGATTAAACGGAAACATTCTCATGCACAAGAAAAACTTTCAGGCACAATTCTAAATAAAGTTAGATATGGCTACTTAATGCAAATTCAATGATGCACAAACGCAGGCTTGTCTGCTCTCCCCTCCAGCGCCTGTGTGCTGCTGTCCAGGTCAGCAGGGACACATTAAGCTCCAGTGCCAGGCTGAATGCATGCAAATACTCTCACATGGTTCAGCTTAGCACTGCCCTGAGCCAGCTGTCTGCGAGAAGCACACATTACTACACGATAATCCGCACACGGCGTCCTGCTCCACTGCCAGTACCCTGCCCTTGGCTGTGTGAGAGTCTAGCAGTACAGGCGGGAGCAGAAAGCTGACTTTCAGAATTTATTTCTTATAATTACTCAGGAACAGGTAGGTCCGTCTAATGTACTAACGTGCTGGTATGAAAGGGGTAAAACCACAGTAAACTCTTATCATTGGACATCACAATGTAGATCAGAACACACTGCTATATTAAAAATAAGTGCCCCCTCAACTGTGAGGAATGACGCCATTTGCTCGGGTAGAATGTTTCTCCCCGTGTAAGACAGTATCAGCTTCATGAAGGCCATGTGCTGCAGGCCCTGCTGGACTCAAGGAAGCACGTCTGGGGACAACGGACACACAACTCCAGCCCACTCAGCCGTGGCAGTGTTCGGCCTGCTGGGCCCCAGCGGTGAGGCCATCGCCACGGGCCGGAGACGGACTCTGAATTACAGGAGCCGCAGGCCTTCACACCAGCGGAGACCTTGCAAAGCTGTTTCTGCTCTCTTGAGCCAAGTGCTGGTAATGAACTGAAATCAAGGAGAGGCCAACTGTTCCTGCAGCATCACCAGACTTTCAGTTCTAAACTGCTTCACTGGACTAAGCTGCTAAAGCAATCAACAGAGGTTCCATTTGTTGTGAAATGAATGGCTTGAGCTTGACCAGTCTCCAGCACTGGTCCCAGAGTCACCCTATGTCACCGACTGGGTAACCTGTAAGAGACTGATCAAGTAAGGGAGCTCTGGTCCTCGAGAGCCGAAGGGCTTTACATACGGTCTGTTCCAAATGACCTCTGAATTGTTCAACACCAGTCAGAAGCGCTTCCGTGTGGAGTCTGCATGCTCCCCCCATGTCCATATGGGTGCTGAGGTTTCCTTCCACCTCCCACAGACACGCTGGCAGGATTGATGCAGCTTGTGTGGGTGTGTCCTGCAGCAGACTGGCAGCACCCTGCCCAGGGTCCAGTCTCCGTGGTTCCAGGACAGACACAGGGCAGAAGACCAGGGAGAAGACTCCTTCACATACGGGACAGGTGGAAGATCTGTTTAACCTGCTTAATTTGAAAATTCACCTGCTTGACTGATTGTCAGGGTTGAGAAACTAGCATGTTAACACTTCTGTACAAACCCCTGCTGATCTGGGGCTCTTAAGAAGCAGGGTAGGGGTTCAACACCCCTTGACCTTCAATCCTGCTGGAATGGGACCTATCAGAGCAAGAGCACCCCCCTACCCCCCTCCCAATAAGTGCAGGGTCCCAGCAACTCCCTTTCACTCACTTGGTGATGATGGAGGGCATGGGGATCTCCAGGAACTGCTCCCGCAGGGGTACGAAGGGCAGCAGCCCAGTGTAGAACAGCCCCACCAGCAACAGCACCCTCTGCAGGCTGAACAGGATCGGGATGCGAGGGTTCTGTCAGGGAAAACGAAAGTCCAGCATCACAGCGTGAACACTGCAGGTACACACTGCACCCAGCTCTGCGACGTATTCCTGAGGATGTGCATCCTGCACTGCTCAGCCCAGAGAGGCCCTCTCACTCTTCACCGAGAAATGTGCCATCCGAATTGTGTCAGATCTGCGTGAGAAAGGAGTCTGTCAGAGTGGGGGGTGAGGCAAGTTTCCTCTCATTGACAAACAATGAGATTTTAACACACACCCATCCTTCCCTGACTGACTGCAATGCCATGAACTGTAGATATTATTATCAGTTATTTGAAAAGAATGCCTTAGTTCATTGAAAGACATTAAGGATTAGGCCTGAAAGAAACCACGTTTTTAATTAATTGAAAAGCAGAAGGTCCTAGGGCTTGATTTTTGAGAGATGGGCAGTAGGAGTGAGATGTGTAAATTAAAGTATTTCTAAAACAACGCACTTCCTGCCATGGCTGAAGAGACTGGAGCACGATGGGAACGCCTGTAGAAGTGATCATAATTCTGGAGTGGGAACACGAGGGGAGGGATTGCTGCAGTCTGGGATCTGGAGACCGCGGCGGTCCCGCCCCGGCTGTCCCTCCCATAAGGCCACGCAGCTGATCCAGCACAGGCCCAGGCAGGACTCTGCAGGATCTCTGGCGTTCTTCTCATTAACAGATACGCCAGGCGGCTTCCAGGCCTGGATTTAGCCCTGGCAGGACTTCAGAGGAGAAACACAATCTCTCATGGCGGCCGTGATCACTGCGGCGGCTGGCATTGCAGACCAGAGCACCGGGCTTCAGGGCAGAAGGGCTCAGTCTCTGCTGAGTGCCTGCGCCCAGCTCCAGTACGAGCTCGAGCAGGACCTGCACTTCACAGGCATCAGTCTCCATCTGTGCAAATCTGAATCTGTAGTTTCCACTGCACTGAAATCAAGACACCAAGCTGTTTAACTAAGAGACAGCTATCCTTTGCCATTTGGGCCTATGTAACGTTTTAAAGCTGTACTGGGAATCTATGTACGCAGATCATGGCTTTTATGCATTGAAATAGGTATATGTCAGCACATACCTCAAGAAACACCTGAAAATAGCAAATGAACAACAATTAAAATACTAGAAACAAGCTTCCTGGCTAGCTGTTGAAGTGGATTCTCACGGTTTCTGGCAACAGCTGGATGCGATCCTGGGGTAAGTTGTTCTTACGGGCTTCTATTGATGTAATCAGGCAGGTTCAGGGGTCGCCTGTTCACTCTGAGTAAGTGTTGTAAATACCTCTAACCAGACCAATACTGAAAGGGGTTCAGTCTTGACAAACAAGGCCTGCTACAGCAGGAAGAGCCATAATCGTGATCTCCTGTATAAGACTCCTGCACCATGCAATTACGCCCATGTTGCTAAACCGCCTTTAATTCTTCACATAATGCACAGCAAATCCCATGGTCTTGGTTGAGGCAATTTCCCCGACACATTAAAATGAGCACCAGCACACTGGGGCAGAAGAGTGCTGTTTCCATCCAAGGCATCCAGGTGCGAGCCCGTAGAGGCTGGGCTGCAGGAGCTCGCCGCCCTTCAGCCAGCTGTGTCTGTGGCTGCGGTACTGCAAGGTGCCAGCATGGTGCCAGCGTGCGTGTGCACGGCGTGGCGGTGCTGCGCGGCTGGTGTCCTACCTCCCTGTAGCACTTCTGCACGACCTCGTTGCTGGCGTTGCCCCACACTGTCAGGTGCTCCCGGTTGAACTCCGTCACCAGCTCCGACACCTGCAGGAAGCGCGGGCGTTATTAGGGCAGGTACTGTAGGAGAGGGGTGACCCCAGGAAAGGGGAACGGCGGCGCGGCGCCCACGGACCTTCCTGATGAGTGTGTCGTTGTTGGCCTTGATGTCGATGTTGACGGGAGTGCTGGGAAAAGCCTCGAAGACGTCTCTGAGCAGGGGGATGCGCTTGTCCTTGCCGCCCTCGCAGCAGCCCTCTGTACAGACAGCACCCCAGCAGGGGCGTTACGCACCGGACACAGCACCCACACCCGCTTTCCAGATCCCCCTGACACCCCCCCCCCGCCCACGCCGAGCACCGGAGGAGCTCCATGGCCCCGTGATCATGGCGCTGGTCCACTGCGGCCAGGAATCGCCAGGCGGCGGCGCTGTGGTGGCAGCGGTGGGATCAGCAGTGACCCCCTGGACCTGCTGCAGCAGCAGTGAGAGACAGGTGCTGACTCTCCCTTGGGACAGCGTGTGAGTGAGCCTGGCTCCTTTTCAATTCATTACACCAGCTGTAAGTAGCACAGTCTGAATGGTCTCCCCTCATCCTCACCTTCTTCATCATAATCTTTGCCCTGAGGGGACCTGACCTCGGACCACAGCCCTGCGGTAAGTCAAGCTCGCACATCCCACCCCTTGTGGTTGTGGATTTCTGTCACCAACCCCGTTGCTGTCGGCTGCCAGACCCAGCAGCACTCACCTCTCTGGAAGGTCACCTGCAGCTTGCACAGGTAAGGGGGCAGCTCCTAGACAGAACACAGAAAGCCAGTCAGACCCTCCTGCACAGTCAGCAACAATGACCGAGCTTTGTCCAGCATCTGCCCACAGCGGGGAGCACTGAGGGACGACCTCAGATTTACAGCAAGATTTGAGGCAAGACAGAAGGCAAAAGCAAAAAGACAGAAGGCAAAAGCAGTCTATCATCAAGCCAGTCCATAATGGTGCGCTTTCTCCTCAGGGGTAAACTGCTTAAGACAGGGGCAGTTGATGGGAGTTGGGAAGAAACCACAGCTCCTGACGAGAACCTACGCCCACACCTAGGAAACTTACAAACTTCAGAAAAGGCTAGAATTGAAACCCAGGATCCCCAAATTCTGAGGCAGCAGAGCTAACTGTCACAACACTGCGGCAAACTCACATCTTAACACAAAAGGAAAAACAGCTCTGGTAACAATGACACTGGTGAAATGGAGTTTATCTCACACAATGTCCTGATAGGTGCACTGTTTCTACTCTCAAGACTTTGCCCTCCTCTGTAAATACGGTTAACAGCTTGAACCTCCAGGTTCACTTACCTCAATGCCTATTGAAAGGACTGTGGACAATGTACAAGCAATTTCATGTGAAAGGTTCACCAGAAAACTGCTGAAAGTCTGGAGCGTAGCTTTCCTAGGGAGCTAGTGAAGATAATACAGCAAAGACAGTGGAGGCCACTGTACTGTCCTTGCATGGGTCCACCAATCAGATACTCACTGCATACGACAGGTCGCGGATGAGAGCGCTGACCCCCGTCGACCTCTTCAAGTTGGAGTCATGCGACACCACCACCTGCTCGTCCTTGGTCAGGTGACAGTCCAGCTCCAGCATGTCTGTACCCAGCTTCACCGCGCTGCCAGCGAGAGCGGAGGGTTAGCGTGACGCCAGGACAGAGCCGCCGTGACTCTGGGGCAGCCGAGGCCGGATTCAGGCTCGGTCACGGGCTCAACTTTCGGAACAGACAGCGCTCTTCCCCCTGGTTCCCAGATCAGCTCAGCTCATCACAGCCGGACTCGCAGAACCTGCCAGCGTGCACAAGGCTCCTGACCCACTCACAATCCCCTGCACAGCACACAACACACTTTCTAAAAAGTGGAACCTGACTGGAAAATAACGAGTTTAATTTAGTGTGTGAATATTTCTGCAGGGAATAAAAGTAGAAAACACTTCCAGGACCTCAGCTTGAGACCCCTGCTCTGTGTGATTCAGTGTCTGTCAACAGCAAGGAAACAAGAAAGACACAAATCCAAACGCCCAGGACTGGCCAGCCCGTACGGCATCCCTGAGCGTCTGAGGACAGGGGCAGTGGCTGCTCTACTCACTGTCTGAAGGCTGCCATGGTGTTCTCCAGGTTTTCCCCTGCGCCTGAGGAGAGAGCACAAAGAGGAGGCGTCACAAACCCTGCAGCAGCACCAGCAGTGACCGCGGCTCTCTCCTCACGCTCCGCGCCCTACAGGTGTCACTGCTGTCACTACAGTCAATATAAACTCCACCACACCAGTATAATGAAGAACTCCTTCTGGTTTCAGTGCAGAAACACTGATTGGACTCAAATGACCGGATCTAGGTCACCTTAATGCATTGCAAGGACGTAGTTCCAAAGCTGGTTAGAGAGAATTAGCAGAAACCTGATACCGTCAGATGTGACAGAGGGGTGAGGAAGTGTGGTATAACCTGATACTGGTTCTATTCACCCGCTGGGTATCAAAGATGAGGTCACTTGCTTTTTGCTGTGGTGAGAGTCTTGATTCCTGAATGCAGAAGCACAAGGTGCCTTTTCTATTTTAGATATAAATGAATTATTCAGCCCGCTGTAAGGCCCCTGTGCTACAACTCTGAATCCTATGTGTACGATGCCAGCTAGGCTGCTTGGTATAAGGGCAGACTTTACACAAAAAGAAACAGGTTTCAGTCTATATGACACTGAGACGAACAATTGACACACAGGTGGTGGGTTTCTGGAACAAGCTGCCAGGCCATGTTTTGAAACCGATTCCACAGGATCTTTCTGAAGCAGGTGATGAGATCAATAAGCTCCTAGCAGCCCCAAAAGCAGAAGAGTACGTGGTCTCCTCTCATTTCTGACTCCAGAGTCCTTGTGACACAGTGCACTCTCTCAGCACTGGCTGACACACACAGAGGAGGTCTTTTCTGGGTTCTGGAGCTCCTTGTTAGATTTTCATCAGATCAGCTCTCCCTCACCATATGAAAATTCTGCCTCTGTTGAGGCCTTTAAGTCTTGCCTCAAAACATACTTGTTTAAAATAGCCTTCAAATCCTAATCACTTTTTTTCTTCTAAATTCACATTTATACATGTTTCATTGTAAGTTTACTGTGTTTTATATGTATAAAAATCTACAGTGCAGAATTGGTCTGGATTAAAAGTTGCTACAGAAGAACAAGGTCGAGTGATTGTTTGGTTAATTGATTGGTTGGTTAATTGAACCTGTGGCCCGAGGGAAGAACTGTGCTGCTTCAGTCGACCCTTTGCCTTGGAGACTCACATGTTTTGCAAGTGTGACACATTAAGGGCACAGAGGAAAGAGGAACTTAATTCCTGCTGACATGACACAGTTACATCAGCAGCTCTGACAACACACTGTTCCTCCAAAAAACTGCTTTAGAGAAGCAGGCAAGTCTTTCAGAAACAGACAAGGAACCTCGCCTGCAATCCAAGCAAGCAATCCTGCAGATTGGCTGTTTTCCTTCTCGACCTCAGCACATAATGAAAGCACATTACAGGGCATCTAATCCTGGACAACATAATGATATTTTAGGTAAATAGGTGTAGGCCTATAGCTAATCCTAGTTTGTGAAACGAGTCCTGCCAGTACAAAATTAAAATCAATGTTTCTTACTGGCTTGTTAAACCATTTAAACCATCATTAACCTTAATGTTTCTGTAAAAAACTCCTGCCTCGGCAGCGAAGTGTGTTTCTCCCTAATGAAATAAACCTGGGGCTGTTCAGGGCTCCCGAAGAAAAAGAAAACGAGGTGCCCAGGACCTGCAGAGAGTGACCCCACCCCAGGAGCCACCCGCTGGGTGAATTCAGTCAGCAGCGAGACCGCAGGGGCCCTGCGTGTGACTGCACTGCGGGAGAGCCCTGCGCCCGAGCCAGAGGGGCTTCACCGCCACTCGCGCTGGTAGGACTGATCTCCACCCTGACAGCCCAAGCAGGTTCGATTTCTCAGGTGCGTCCAATCCATGGATAGTGATCATCTGTGTTGACCATAGCTGTTGGGACTGAAATTGAAGCAGGAACTGTTTTATCTACAGTAATAAAGTTATATTACTGGTAAAGTATATTCTATAATAAATGTTGTGCTGTTAGCCCATCTATTTTCGAACAGATGTTTCCAATTCAGGGATGTGGGGGAGCCAGAGTCTATCCCAGCAAGCAATGGGCACAAGGCATGTAAACGCTGGACTGGAGGCCAGTCCATAGCAGGGCACCAACACACAGACACAGACACAGACACACTCACACCTGGGTCAATTTGCCCAGACGCCAATTAACCTGCCACTGTGCCTGTGGACTGCGAGAGGCAAAAGGAGCACCTGGAGGAAACCCACATGAACCGGGGGAGAACATGCAGACTCCACAAAGACAGCACTTCAGGGCTGGAACTGAACCCAGAGCAGTGTTAACCACTGCGCCCCCCTGTTATCTAGTGTGAATCCTTAGCTTTAAAAAATAAAATGCACTTCCAGTTGTGCTGTAATTTTCAGTCTTTTTGCCTTCAAAGCGTTTTTCAATTGGTGGCTGAGATGAAGATACTACAAGCACTCACAGCTCATGAAACGAAGGCACCTGCCTGGCTCCTCCTGACCCTGAACCCAGTGCTCTCTGACACGCAGTGTCCTTGCTGCTATCAGAGAAGCTCAGTCAACAACCTCCCCAGGCCGAAGAGTTCAGGACACTCCCTCACTCTGTGCAAACAGCAGCCAACACAGCCCTTACTGCACTGCTTCCCACAGAGATAACAGACCCAGACAACAGCCTGCTCCTTGCAGAACTATAAAGTCAGAAAATTAGAAGAGGCTTCTAGTATAAAAACACTACAGGAGTGAACACCCACATGTCATAGGTCATGTACATTCAGCTTGAACAGTGGATTACACAATTCTAACATCACACAACACCCCTTCACTTAAACTTTTGACTTATATTCTCTCATTTTTTCTTTTTTATTCTTTCCCCACATTGTCTAGAACACAGAAATAAAGTGTCAGCATAAACACCTAATTTATGAGCATTTTGCTTTCAAAGTCCTGCAGTTGTCTACATTAAATACCACTCACTATATTCACTCTTAACCTAAAATCTGTTTCCTTTCAACAAATTCTCAAGCCAAAAGCACACATTTCCCAGAATACCTTCTGCCTGCAATGTGAGAATTAATCTTTTATGTAAAACTTTATTGAAAGTCTTCTCAACACCTAAACACTACATGTCATATGCTCTGTGTGTGTCCATTAGTGCTGTTGCTGTCTCAATGAGAGCTACGAATGTGTGAACTGTGAACTCTTCTCCAGGATATTACTAGTCCGGAATTACTTGGGTCAGATTTGAAGGGTGCTACAGGAGGGGTTCTCCAGTCCCGGGGTGCCGCCCCTGTCCTGCCACAGCCAGAGGGCGTGTGTCCACAGCTGACATGAACAAGCCAGTCGCGCTGTGTCCTTCAGTCCAGCTGGTAGATCACCATCAGCACCTGGGACTGAGGTGCTTGAGAAGCACTCACGTTTAACATGTATGTGCTGTACAGAAATGACATGGATACATATCGATATCCTTCTCCGGCTCCTAGCCCCACGACATCCAACCATTTGAGCTGCTCTGGGATGTGCCCCCCAGCCTTGGTCTTGGGAATGACAGCTCGCCAGCTGCGGCTCGCGCTGTCCAAGGCGGAAACTCCTGACTCCCAGGTGTGTCCCGGGAGGACCAGCTGCGGCGATCTCTGTAGCCCCCCACCCAGGAGCGACCCCGGACAGCCGAGTGTCACGACTCACCGCCCCGGTGTGAGATGTGTCTGCTCCGGAAAGTCTCCCTTTTCCTGCGGTGCAGCAGCGACGGGCATTTCAGCAGCAAAGCGGAGGTGAGCAGGTAGCCGCCGAGAGTGGACAGCACGTAAATAGCAGCACACATCTCTCTCCCTCCGTCCGTCCGTCCGTCCCCGGCTCCGTCTGCGACAGCGTCTTCGCTACCGGTTTCGCTCCTGGACGGGCTGAGGTGGACTCCGGACTCCGGGAAGCCGGCAGAGATGCTGTCTGTTTACAGCGCTTCCCTCACGCCCCAGCGAGTGCGCGCCGGTCTGTCTGCTGGTCTCTCTGGACTCCTGTTCCCGCTGCGCCTCCGTGCGCTGACCGCTGCCCTGGCCGGACTGTCCACCCCCGGCTCGTGTCGGCCGGACTGCTGCTCCGGCGCTCGGCGGCTCTGCGGAGCGCAACGCAACACGGGCATGCGCACTGGCTGCCGGCCGGCTGAGCGCTGCTCTGTGCATTGCGGGCGGCAGCTGCGCGCCCTGCGCTCCCAGCGGACGGCAGTGTGGATTGTAGGCCTTTCAAACAATACCAGAGGCACAAAACAGCCGAAATCCGCTTCCCTGCAAGACTGTGCGTGCTAAGAGGCCATTTTGCCTTTAATCCCGGCCTTCAACACAATCACCGCTGGGAAACGCCAAACAGACATGGATAATTTATTTTCTCTTCATACCGTGACACCTCTTGCACAGATGAACTCAATTTGGCACATGTTTACAGGTTGGGTTCATGAAGATGCACGAATACGAGCGTCTCTATATAAAAGGATACATAACTTCCCAGGAATGAAAAGCTTCCGCGAGGCTGCACTCTCCTGCTTGGGTCATGTTTCTCTGAAGATCAAACGCCAAACACACAGGCTTGTCAGATTCTATTAATACATCCGCACTCAAATACCCGGGAACCACTGCTAGTGTCTTAACAAGGAGAGACCTGAGAGACCAGCGACACCGTGGCAGCTGAATTAACTAAAAATGAAAGTATTTAATAAATTGAAAGAACTATGTGTCAAATAGTCAGATATCACCAAACATAAGGAAAATTCAAAGGATTGCCATGCCAGCTCTTGTCTAATTACCGCTGGTGTGTTTCGCATTTCTCTTTAAAGAATCTCAGCGATATAATGTCTCAACTCCCCCCCAAAAAAACAGAAGCTTCTTGTCAGAAGCCTCTTTTCTAGCATTAGGCTGAAAGGAGCAGCTGTGGACCCACTGCTACCAACTGACAGGAAAATCCCCAGCTGCCCCCAGCTCAAGTCGTCTTCCTGTCAGACGTCTCCTCGGCCACTGCTCCTCGTGAAACATCAGCAATGTCAGTGAAGCTCCTGCCAGACGAGCCCCAACAACCACCCCTCATCTCTTCCACACGCCCTCGTGGCCAATAAAACGGGCAGCTGGGCCTCCCCAGCGTTTTTATACGGGACCCTGAGCACGCTGGGGTGTAAGTTGCTTAATTAACTCAGGAACCACACCTGTGTGGAAGCACCTGTTTTCAATGTACTTTGTATCCCTCTTTTATCAAGCGTTTCCTTAATTTTGACATCCATTCAATTCATTTATCACTCTTCTTATGCTGTTGTAATACAGAAAAAAATATTTTGGTTTATTTGATATTGACTGAGTGAGCCCCACACAGAAAAAAGCAAAGTTGATGTGATCAGAAACAAGAGTTCGCCAACTCATGACTTCAGCTAATCAAAGCAGACACACTGTCCTCACTTGACAAACACACTACTGTTCTTCAGGGGTATCGGTCAGTAGGGTCACCCACTGTATGTACACAATCAATGCTCCTGTCTGACTGCATCAACCTTTCCTCCCATGATCTGCGTCACTGTCACTGAGCCATGCAACCTGGACAAGATAGCTGGGTCTGCTGCCTCTAAAGGTGGAGAAACTAAATTTCTCACTAATCACTGATGCACTAGTATCACTCCCTGTGATAATATCACTCACTGTTGCACATTTCAGTTGAAGAAAATATACAACAAAGTTGTAAGCCATTGGAATTTCCTATTTAATGTCTATGGTATTATTGCATTAATATGTTGAAAACACAAATGTCCTTTAAATTAATTTTTTTAGAAGGAAAAGTTGTCCCAAAACAACAAACTGTAGGAGGGAAGAGCTGAAGTTCATTTATCAGGTTAAAAACCCAAATCACCTCGCTGTTTCCACATCTTTCACAGGAAAAATAAGTCGATTCTTTGGTTAGCCAACAACTTCTGAAAGAACTTTCTGATCAATTCCATAAACACAAATGGCAGAGAACAGGTTATTAATCAAGCAAACAAATGAGATACATCGTCATTATCATTCAGTGCCATTATCCCAGCCACCTCACAGCTAATAATACAACTACCGTACACAATGAATCAACAGAGGTTCATTCGGCACTGACAAGCATTAAACTACGTTTCTGTCCTGGAGCTTCTTCAGGTGAGCAAGGAATTAATCTTCTGCCCTGGATCCACTACAGGGTCACTGGGATAGATGAGTCTGTCACTGTTGCAACAAACCTCAGCAGACTGCGAGCTGTCTTTTGCTGAACTCTGTTTTTATACCATTCATTGTCAATAATTCAAACTGCTGATAACTGGGATTATCATCATCATTGTAAGATCACAAGTGAACTGTAAATAACTTACATTGTCGTCATAAAAAATTGAATGACTCGAAGGATATGCCCTAAACCAATGGCAGTGCTCTACAGAGTCGTATTTACCAAACTGTAATTGGAGCAACACGTACTAGCAAACAGTTTCTGCAGTATGTTAACTTGAACCTCACCCATGAGCAATCCTCCATCTGGTCATTCTGTCAAAACCATCCTTATCTCATGCAGAACCTTATCAGCTCCTTGGACAGGCCCACATGACTTAGTTCAACTGAACCTGAAACTCTGACAGGATGTCGAAACACCCTTTCCAGTTGCTGAGCTGGGTCCTTCCACACAAACAGCAGACTGTGGCCGAGTTCACACAAGTGAAACATTCAGACACAGAAGCCAGACCGCTTGTCAGAACGACAAATCACAGAGATAAGAACAAAAAAATCTGACAAACGTTTATTACATTTATTAAATCGGTGAATAGCCTGGTGTCAGAAAGGAACGCAAACACTCCAGGTACTCTCTTTTTTTAGAGAACGTTGCAGGTCATGATCGTTGAGTTTACAGTCAAGTAATCATCTGCAAGCTTGTCTCTACTAGCTGGTTGAGCACCGTAGCTCCTACTGGAGACAGCTGGGCGTCGACAGGCCTCCGCAGGACAAGACCCAGCCTGTGTGTGAAGCACAGGCTTTTACCTGTTAAGACACTCAGATGCTCCTCAGAGCAGATCTGAACTTGCTCAACAGCGATTTCACTTTGTTTGTAGGAAGCAAGGAAGTAGAACACAACGCAGATTCTCCTCAGAAACTGTTATATTTCTGATTACCCGAAAAGAGAGGAGAAAATGAAGTAAATAATGAAATCCCAACAAAGCCCTCACAGGTCTCTCGGACTTCTGCGGGCTTTGATTTCCAGTGAGCCGTGTCTCGGGAGTCTGGTGTCTGTCCCGGCTGCCTTGCGTCCTGCCCAGCCTGCGCCCCGCCAGCGCGGGGGGTCCTGCCGCGGGGCCGCGGGGTCATCCGAGCGATCGGGGGCATCGTCCCTGGAGGCGCAGGGGGTTCACTGCGGGGGTGGGCTGGTGGTGTTGGCACGCAGGGCGCCCCTCAGGACCCGGAAGCTGGGCAGCTGCTGGCTGTCCTTGGGCGGGTAGCAGGGCCCGCGCTCCGTGGCGTAGGCGTAGGGGAAGCGCAGCACCCAGAACCCGTCCGGGGGCAGCAGCACCTCCCTCTGCTCGGGGTGGAAGATGGGGCAGGGGGGCGGGCCTGGCTGGACCTGGGGGGGCAAGGACAGGGGGGTCAGGACGCAGACAGAGTCACCGCAAGCCTTCCGTTGGGACAGGGAGGGTGTCTGCGCAGAGCAGTCCATCGCTCTCTCCGTCTGCTGTGACCAAAGGCTGTTTGCTCTCCTGTTACACCCAGAACACAAATACAGACTGAAGAAAGTTCCCCGCTGTACTGCTGTCAGATCCATTAGCTGTAGGTCTTACACACTACAGGGTCTAATAGAAAATCAGTGGCAAGACACTGCTGCCCAGCTCCTGTCCCCAGCCAGCATGGCCCAGCTCGAGCGCGTTTGCAGAGAAGAACGGATGAGACTGGCACAATCCCGGTGAGCAAAGAATTACTCAAGAAGACTCACGGCTGTTACTGCTGCCAACCTGCTGACTCAAGGGGGTGAATACTGATGCAATCAGCAAATTAGTTTTGAATTCATCTTTGCAGTTGTTTTTTTACTGACATTTGTCATCTTCACCTATCAAACTGGTCCACTTGAGCACTCTGTACTTAAACAAAGTGGAACACCACCGGAAGGGGTGGATACTTTTAGAAGGCACTGATGAAGTGTAAACCCGCACCGGGCTGGCCTGATGCTTGGAAAGAATTTACTGTTTTCCGATAAAAGATCTATGGAATTGCAAAGTTACCCCTGACCGGAGGACTGGAATGACTCTGGCTGATGTCACTGCAAGCAGGCAGGTGCCCAGCTCCTCGCAGGACTGGCTGTTTGCTGAAAAGGCCGAAGAGACACCCAGCCAACCTGCCCCTGTCATTGCTGAGTCACACAGCAGTCAGTCTTTAACGCTCCAGCTGGTGGAAACTCCCAGCCACATGACTGTGACTCAACCCAGCAACCGGCTGCAACCTGTCCTCTAAGACAGTGTCTTTAACTGAGGGCCACTCAGGAGCCCCAGCACTGAGAGACCCGGACACACTGGAAAAACGAAACGAAAGCCAGCCAAGAGCATTTACTCTCCTGAAGCGAGGAACAGAAAGAGGCAAAGACACAGGCGAAAGGTGAGGAGGGAGAGACAGAGGGACAGATCAGCACCCCCTACCTGTGGGGCGAGGACGATCTCCAGGGGGGCATCAGGCACGACGATGAAGAGGCGGGCGAGCTGGGCGTAGTGCGGCTTGAGGCCGCGCCCCTGGGTGGGCGAGTGGAAGTAGAGGGGCATGTCGGAGTTGAGGGCACGCGTGGCGGACTCCTTGGGGCCCCCAGGGCCCAGCACCTTCACCACCTTGTCGGGACCCGAGCTGATGAAGCGCCGGCCCCTGCCGTCCTCGTACTCGAAGCCCACGAAGGCCCTGGCCACGTCGTCTCGCCCGCGCCGGCCCCGGCCCAGGCCTGCCGTCGGGGCCCGCTTCCCAGCCAGCGCCTTGTTGGGCGCGGGCCAGGACGAGGGCGCGGCGTCCAGCGGCTCCGCCAGCCCCATCTCCTCCTCGGGCCGGCAGCGAATCACGATGTCCCAGGGCAGCAGGAAGGTGGAGCCCGGGAGGAAGCCGGGCTGGTCGAGTCCGGAGTGGCAGCTGTAGGCCTTGGCCGGGCCCAGCTTGACCAGGGACCAGCTGGAGAACCTGGGCAGCAGCCCCTCGGGGCAGCCGGAGTGCAGCATGCCCAGCAGGTACTCCACCGTGGAGGGCTGCCGCTCGGCCAGGCTGGGCCGCTTCTCCTGGCCCTCGGCGCCGTCGCCGTAGGGCCCCAGGCTGTCCGCGGACTGGCCCAGACTGAGGGCCAGGCTCAGGCTGGTGCTGTCTCCCGGCGTGTGGCCGGTAGCCTCCTCCTCCTTCAGCTGCTCGCCGTCCCCACTGCCCTCGGCCGGGGCCTCGGGGGGCCCCGCAGCCTCTTCGCCCTCCGGCTCCGGGTCGGGGTCGGGGGTGCTGGGCTGGAACACGGGGAAGTGGATCCTCTCCAGCTTCCCGCAGCACTTCTCCTCCAGCATCTGCAAGAGCAGGACCGACATCAGCGTCAGCCAGAGGCTGGCACAGCGGAAAGCCAGTCTCGCCCCGCCCTCAGGGCAGAGCACGAGCACGGCCTGCAGGTCACTGGGCTGTCACAGCAGACGCCTGGCTTGGCAACTCTGCCCTTTGCTTCAGCCACGAGGCCACTCTGTTCCGTCCGTCTTCTGAGCGCTGCTTCCAATTCAGGTCCCAGGGGAGCCGGAGCTCATCCCAGCAAGCAACGGGCACAAAGCATCACAGGACACACCCAGACACACACACCCACACCAGGGCCAGTTTTCCCAGAAGCCAATAAACCTACCAGTATGGCTTTGAACTGTGAGAGGAATATGCGAAGGACATACAAACTCCACACAGACAGTAGGCCAGGGCCCAAGCACTGCGCCACCAGGCCATTCCCCCACTCTGTTCCAGTGTATTAAATATTCCCAGAATGGCCTCAAGTCACCTCACCACCATCAATGGAGTCAAAGGTGCATGATGGGCAGTTCTACATCACGCTTTCTGTCTTATTATCAGGCACTCTGTTCTAGTTACACGAAAAAATGTAAAACTGGAAAACTGTTTTCCTGTCAACTGAAAACAGTTTTTCCTGAAAACAGGCAGTTAATTTTCTTCCTCCCCAGAGTGCTGGTTTACAAATACAACATTTTGCAGTTGGTCCTTCAATACCGGCACAGTTATCCCCCGAGTCAGTGACGTTTACCTCCCCCCAGCTAAAATAAATCAGTGATCGTTTCACACAGCTTCACCTTTGTTCGCTACTTTACAATCACATCACAGAACAGAGAGTTTACTCCACGTCCTGCCTCTTATTTGTGAGGCTAGACTGATGATACTTTAAATGTCTATGTTTACAAGCTGGCGATTACACGAGAAGAGAGAAGGATAAGTTACAAGTCCATGAATTCAATATTTGTGGCCACCCATGCAAGCCCAGAGTCTGCAGGCCAGAACCCGTCCCTGCGCCCAGCCCCTCTCTGCCCTCTGACCTGGTAGAAGTCGTAGTTGGCAGCTTTGATGTCAAAGGGGTCCTCTCGTGGCACCTGCTTGCGGCCACAGTTGCAGGAACTGGTGGAGCGCCCTCTGCTGTTGTGGTAGAGGATGGGCGGATTGCGGTCCATCTCGGGTTTCTCGCCTGCAGTGGAAACAGGAAGGAGCAGAGATCAGGGACAAAATCGCACCGCCAAACCCACACCTGAACCCCTGCCCTGCGCAACAGTAGGGTTAGGGTTCCATGTGTAGATTTATTCCTGTCATCTTGTGCTGGCTTGTAGAACACACTGCAGTAGGAGTCTCAGGGTCCTCTCTGCACCCTGCCTCTCCTGCAGAGCTGGCTGAGGGCTCCCTGCGATAGTGCTCTATCAGGTGAAGGAAAAAGAGTGCCAGGGAGCTTCGGCACTCTCATTAACAGCCGACACAAACACCGGGCTTGAAGAACTCCAGCCCTGTGCTCTGGGGAGGGACGGCCAGCACGGCGCAGTACCTGTCTTGGGCAGCAGGTGGAACTTGTGCACGCAGTGCTGGTCCGTGAGGCTGCGCTCCTCGCACAGCTGGTGCCCGTTGCTCCAGAACTTGTAGCAGTCGTCGTGCAGCTGCAGGGCGTAGCGCTGGAAGGCGACGCCGCGGGCATGCTGGCTGTAGACGCGCAGTGCCTGGGCCAGCTGGTTCTTGTGCACGGTGGTGGTGTAGTTGTGGGGCAGGTTCGACTGGTAGGCACTGTGGGCGAGCGGCAACGCCTTCTGGCACCTGCTCTCCGAGAACTTGGCATCGGAGTCCAGAAAGCCCTCCAGCACCTTCAGCTGCCCTTGCACCTTGAGCGCCAGCTCGGCCGAACCCTCGTCCTGGCTGTCCAGCATCACCTGGTGCAGCCGGCCGGCCACCTGTGCCCACTTGCTGTAGGTGGGCAGCTCGAAGTGCGAGGGCTGGGGGTTGCGGCCCACGCTGTCATCGAAGCCCTTCTTGGCGAGGACGAGCTCCACGTGCTGCCACAGGAACTCCTTCAGCGTGCAGTCCACCAGCTGCCCGCCAGCGCCCGCCAGGCTGCTGCCCTCCACGGTGAAGGAGGGCTGCCTGGCGGACTGGCGCAGCTGCGTGTAGCGCCGGGGGCCCGTCAGCACGGCGCCGGGCTCACTGTCCCGCAGGGTGCAGTGCCCTCGCAGCTGCCCCAGCAGGGCGCCCACGGGGTCCTCCTCGGGCCCGGGCACCACGTACACGAACGCCTGGTTGGCGGGCACGGTGAAGAGGCAGTTGATGCTCTGGTTGGTGAGGACGCGGCTCTTGCGGAAGATGCGATAAATCTGGTCCTCCAGCGTGTGCTGCAGACGGCGCCGGGGAGAGTGCTTCTTGGGCTTCTCCGGGTTCCCTCCCGGGGCGTCTCCGCCCGCCGCGGCCCCTGCACCGGCCCCGCCACTGACCTTCAGAGCCCCGTTCATCTGGAAGACGAAGAGCAGGCGCGGCGGGCAAGGTCTGCAGTTCAGCTTCCACTCCTTGGAGACCGGGCAGTCCTTGATGGCCGCCCGCAGCAGGGGCAGAGCCTTCTGCCGGAGCGCGTCCAGGGCGCGGAAGAGCCGGTCGTAGGTGACATCGAAGGAGCAGGTCGGGTGCACCAGCAGCAGGATGTGGCACAGCGAGAAGAGATACAGCAGGTGCAGGCAGCGCTGCTTCTCCGCCGCCTTCCAGAAGTCGTGAGCCTCGGCGTGGCCGAGCCCGGAGCCCAGCGCCTCGCAGGCCCGGAGCAGCTGCCGGTTGTCACACACGGTGGTGAGGACCAGATACAGAACCCGACTCTCCTGGTTATAATAAGCGCGAATCAAGCTGCCTCCTCCGGGAATATCCGCATCCCCCTCCGGCCCAAACAGAGGAAAGACGTGCTTGTCTGCCAGCGTGTTGATGAGCGATTCCTTACCAGAGCTGGGCTGCAGGGCGCTTTTACCGAAAATCCCGAGCACACACAGCCCCTCGTCTTTGTACAGCGGGTCCTCCAGCTGCTCCGAGCGCAGCAGCTCTCCCATTGACACGGGCGCCGCCATCTTCACGGGCTGAGAAAACAAAGCTTACACGGAAGGAGACCCGGAACACTTCCGGGAGCCGCGGGCCGCGGTAAAACCTGTCCGGGTGGAAACAAGCAACCGGCTCAGGCGATGTGCGGACACGGGCGCAGCCGCAGTAGGGGCCGTGCTGATCGTCAGGACGATGTAAGCTTCAGTCGAACCTTCTGCTTAGTATTGTGACGTTTCATACGTGATCTTCCAAATCAGGATATAGCCTATCTATTTAATGCTGTAAACAATTTTACATTTTAAGTACAACATTTAAATCAAATGCACTTTCTTGTATCTAACCAACAATGTACGTAATGTCAGAATCTCCCTTTCTTCTGAATTTTGCAATGTTAGAAACTATTTCCCCACGAACTGAATTTGCCCCAGCTGCGATGTTGCAGTAACAGAGTTTGCCGTTAAAAGATTACTGTAATTACAGTACATAGTTCCCTAGGTATATTGATTTATAGCCATTTGTAAATAGTCTACAGTACATAGTTCCCTAGGTACATTGATTTATAGCCGTTTGTAAACAGTCTACAGTACATCAGCGTTGCTGACATGGGTAGCCAATGGAATACGTCTCTCAGAACCCGCAATTTTCTTGCTTTGTACTTTTTATCTATAAATTAGTAGTAGAGAATTGAATTGGTCTTTCCAATAAAGACCATCAAAGGCAAATTTTCAGATTGCACTTGGTCTTGATTGTTTGAAAAGACTGGATCAACAGAGATCTCTCTAGTAGGTGTTCTAACAGAGAAAGAAATCAGTTTTTCCACCACGTCAACCATTTCATGTTCAGATCCTGAAATTTGTAGTTTTATTTAAGGAAAGCTAAAATCCATAAACCCACTTCTTCCTTTATTCATAAATCCCAGATGCCTTTATAGTTATTGTTCCTATCATACTGGCCCCACGATGCCCTTTGAATGTTTTATAAATGTATAGATCTTGAGACACTTTATTCAGGGCAGCGTTCTGCAACCCTGCTGTTGGTGATCCCCAATCCACTTATTCTCACTCTAAATCATCAGTTAATTAAAGGTTAGGAACACTTGTTTAAAATATTGGTCAATTCAGCAAGATTTTTTTTAAAAAAAAGGATATTTGGATTTTTGCTCTAAATGATTGCCAATTGATGTTTATATGCTCACACTTGTATTGTATTGCTGCAGGTCTCCAGAAATCCATGACTCACAGGCCTGCCATGAAGCCTGCAGGCTGGGTGGGGACTAGTGCCTGTGTCCGGATCTTTCCGATGGACAGAGCCGCTCCTCCTCTCCTGGCAGCTCGGGACACAGTGCGTCCACCAACGTCCAGCACGGACTCCTGCGTCGTGGACTGACGCTGCTCGCCGGTGCCCAATCCAAGGTGATCCCAGCTTGTGGGGGATGGGGAGAAGTGCTCAGGAAAGGGCTTGTTGGGATGAGACTGGCTGAGGTCCTGACTGCTCTGTCATTAAAGCCCCTGCAGCCCAGTGTTCCTGCTACATTTCTCACTTCCACTGCTGGAGCTGCCTGATCCGCTCTTCGGAGTAACAAGTTTGGGGATTCTAGTTACTGGACTCGATAAAGAAAATCTAACTTGCTATTAGCTGGATTTGGAAAAGGAATAAAACATACTTCAAATGCAATTCTTCAAAGCTTTTCAGGGTAGCGTGGGGCAATACTGTTAGTAACAAGACCAGTGAAGAAGGAGGGACTGGACTGCTGCCAGAGAGGCAGGTTGGGTGTTTCTGTCCATACAGGGACCATCCAGCTTCTCTCCTCTTTTTAATTGAGACCAAGACTAAAAATAACCGTCAGGCCTGTACATTAACACGCTGAGAAGTCTGGTGAAATAATTGCAAATCAGACAAAAATGTTCTCAGGTGAGCTCTAGCAGCACTTTATACAAGAATTGCATGCCCTTGTTGTTGCTAAAAAAGGCAATTAATAAAAAACAAACTTTGCCAGAAAACAGTCATTCTGGGAATAAATAGTAATCAATTTCCTAAGATAATATGGAACTCATAGGGGTGATATCACTAACTCCAGGTGGCCAAACTGAATTACTCAGGAAAAGCCACAGCTAGGAAATACTAATATGGTCACTACAGTCAGTACCGGCATCACATGAAATGATCAGAAAGGCAAGTGATACAAGTTTGCTTATTATCAGTGTTCAATGTAACAGTAAATGTCTCACATGCATTCTTAACATAGTTAAGTAGTTAACCTTAATTCTGGTAAATTCACAAAGACAGCCATGTAAAAATCTTACACACACCAAATAAACCCTTAACAAAAGAATAAAATTAGAAAAACATTTCCGATACACGCCAATACTCTGCAAAGCTGCGTAAAGTAACAGCTGGAAAGTTTCCTTTAAGTCAAGTAACCGTTGTGCACGTTTTACTCACTTACACAGAAATATATATAAAAGACATACAGGTCCCTGCTCAGATTGTAAAATAACACAGGGTGTGCAAATAAAGCCCTTTAAAATCTTAGTTCTATAGGTTAAGTAAACTCTTCACGTTGAGAACTTGGTAAACAGCACAATTAGCCAAGAACTGACTCCCCTATACACTAGGCAGCCATTGATTGGACAGATGCTAGTTAATCCCTCCCTGACCCTAATCCTCCTCTGAACCCTGAACCCTAAAAAGAATACAGCTGGCGCCCGTCCAGACCGCAAAGGTCAAGGATCTTCTGCGAGTATGTAGTGGACAGATGTACAATATTTGGACTGTTTGGAAAGCGTTCCCGCTTCAGTTCCCAACCGCGGAGCCCCATACAGAGACTCCAGCGCCTACAGAGTTCTCCTTTGTAAAAGCAGGAATTAAAAACACTTTGCATCGGGATGGCACAGGTCCAGTCCTGGAGAACCATTGTCTGCAGGTCTTCACTCCTCCTGAACTCGCTGTAAAAGACAGTGACTGGCTTGTTTGGGCTCAGTCAAGACCTCCTGCCAGCTCCTGAGGTGAGTCAGCTGTACAGGCACCTGTAAGACCTGCCCGACTGTCACTCCAGGACTGTAGCGCCGCACCTCCAGGTTACATTAAAAGCAGATAAGAGAAACATCATATAAAACACAAAGTGCACAGATGGCATCCCACCTCTTTTGTCAGCAGCAGTCAAAAAGCTCTTACAAGCCATGGCTGCTAGCAAAACGTACAAAACTCCCATGGCATAGCAGTTTGATCCGTTCCAGGTTTTGCAGTCCATTGCCGTCTCTAGTTAACATGCACTGTTGAACCAGAAAACGTAAGGTCACTCAGTGCAACAGTCTGGCAAGGTTGAGCACATGTTCTTGAAAAACCTGGAACGGACCAAACTGCTATATAACAGGATTGCGTCTGTTTAACTGGCTTAGCATTTTCTAGCAAACCATAGATCTCCTTAAAAGAAAGGAACCACAAATAAAAGGAAACGTTCAGCTTTGATCATCAAAGCTTTTGTTTAAAGGAGCCCTGAATTTTGGCGATGGGCTTCTTGGGTGAGCAATCTGTGGGAGGAAAGACGAGAATTAATTTCTGGAAATTAAAAAAAAAGTTAAAGATTCTAAAAAAATAATCTAGTTCCCTGGCTGCTGTTACAGGCGTGAAATAAGCAGCACTTTTTGGAAGCCCTACCAAAAGCCCATCCTTAGCTGAAAGGAATTTGAGAAACAATTTAATCTCTGAACTACTGCTTCCCAAGAAAAGCTGCAGAAACTTGAATCTCCTGCCTGGAAGCTCCCACACCATGCACAGCGTACCTGAAACTTGCGGCGCAGCGCCTGCGTCATGATGGGGGTGAGGCCAGTGCCCGTCTCCCGGTTTTCCTTGTCGTACAGCGGAGTGCCCCCAGGACTCCTGCAACACAGACCGACCAATCAGGTCCTTCTGGCATTATTCAGCTCTAACTTCAGAAACTCAGCTCTGAGAAACGACGGGAGGTGCATCTCCCGACAGAGGCCAGCACACCGAGTTCAGTAGTGTAAACACTACTAGTATAAACACCACAGAACTAGAACCTCTTGACCTCCTTCTTTCCCACTTATAGAACCTTCACAGGAAGTGCAGGGAGGAAGTCTCACCTCTCGATGTCGACCTTCTTCAGCTGTCGGCGCAGATTGAGGGGGCTTTTGGTGGGGCTCCTGTCCAGAGAAAAACCAACATTTGAAAAGGTAGAAAAAAAACAAAACCACAAGAAAATGTAAACGAAAGGAGGCCATTCAGCCTATTTCACCTGTTTTCTAGTGTAGAAGCCAGCTGAACAAAATTTCACCCAGTTGTTTCTTAAAAGATCACAGAGTTTGACCTAAACCACCTGGGTCTGAAACTTTTTCCAAACGCCACCATTTTGTTTCCAGCTATGACCCGAAGTCACTACTTCTGCCAGACACTGGAGGTCTGGGAAAGGGAAGAGTGGTTTTTACACAGAGAACGGGGAGCTGGACGAAGCTGCCAGGCTGTTGACTCACAGCTGGATGAAAGCCTCAAATCCACATACTGCCAGCAACCGAACGGACACGAGGGGCTGAAAGACGCCCTCTCGTTTGTAGACTTGTGTTGGAACCACCAAGGAAAATCCGGAAGATTATCTAGATTACTCTGAATTAAGAGTGCGTTTCAGAAGTGTGAACTTACTTCAACACTCATGGTTTTGAAACAGATTTTTCAGGCCCCCACACTGTCTGAAACGGGCTGTGGCTTGCCTCGATCTCTGGGAGCAGGCCTGCGCGGGGATGGCGGCTTCACTTGCCTGGTCAGAGAGATGCGGAGCTTGAGCGGCTGGTCGGAGTGAGAGCGCCTCAGGCTGACCTTCTGCAGGTCGGCCACTGTGACCAGAGGGACACGCTGGCGCCCGGGAGAGACAACCTGCATCCAAGACAAATCAACACACAACCGAGTCTGCACAAACAATCCGAAAGACTCCAACAGTCCACAGTCACGCTGGAACTGGTGCCAGGGCACAATATTCTGAGCACAGAACGCAGGCAGCCGTGATCTGTGCAAGCACAGGACAGCAGCACACGCTGCCAGGGAACCAGTCCTACCGAAACAAGGGGCAGCAGAGAGGACGTCACTGTCCTCACACTTCAGTGGAAGGTGTTTGATTGAACCTGGATGACTGCCATTTTGAAACGTACACTAGTCTGAGTGGCATTTTAAAAAACACCCAGATGTCCTAGAGACATCACTGACACCCTCAACAGTATGAATGACATAACAGTAAGATTCACTGCAGCGCTTCAGAGAGCTAAGAAAACCACACAAGCAGCACTACGTTTTCTGGAGAGGCTGTCAGTGTGGGAGAGTGAAGGCCGCTCTTGTCCTACCTTCTTCGCATCCACCGGGAGGCTCACTTTCCTGAGCTTCACGGCCCGCAGGTCCCTCAGGGTCACGGCCGCGGGCACCTCCTGCTTCACCACGGGCAGCTGCTGGATAACACAGGTCTCATTCCTCACGGCACACTGCAGGACCGCGGTTTCTCTCCACACGAGTGCCCCCACATGCCCATCACTCATCAACGAGTGAAACAGACGCGCTCCCTGCTCTCTGGGACTTATGGGTGTGAAAAGACGACTGTCACAAGCCTGGGGAGGTACAGTTTGTAAACGTACAGAGCCCGTCCCCAAACCTGCAACGCTCAGTGACTTGTGAAAACTCGATTTGTGGGAGAACGTGTCCAGAGTCACCAGGCTCCCGCTGCAGAGCGATATGAGCGTCTTCTGGACATACAGCAGCAGCCAATAAGACTAGATTGCACTGAAAATAAAACTACTCCGCAGCAGAGAGTTCCATATATTTCATGGTGTTTGACTTAATGCGTCTTACTTGTGTGATGCTGCCAGAAACCCCGGACGGGTTGTGCAGTGGGACTGTTTCTTCTGAACACGTGAGCGCAGTTACCTGGGGAGGCTTGGGCGGCACATCCTTCCTGAGGATGTGGAGGGGTTTCTGGGGGGGCGCAGCTGGGGGCAGAGGGGGGGGCGGTGGGGGTGGAGGAGGCGCAGGCAGGGCGGGGGGCAGCAGGGCAGGAGGGCAGCAGGCAGGCCGCTGACAGGAGCACACGTCCGCCTTCTCACCAGCCTGCTGAAGCACAGAGAGCAAGATCAGACCCTGCAGGGAAACCAGGAGAACAGGACACGCTTCCCAGTGACTCCGCAGCGACGGAAAGCCACTGGTAACATCAATGCTCCTACCTGGTATATTAATAAAAACAGTGAAACATTTAAATATGGATACTTGTGAGCCCTGTGTATACAGCATTTTGTGAAAGTATTCACCCATTTCCAGTGATGCCCCATTTTATAACAAATGTCACCACATTTTTGTCTGATTAAACCTTGAAAGCTCAAACTGAACACTTATGGGTGATATTAAATGTCAACAAAAACTGCAAAGCATAATCCAAACACTGGGTCAATACTTGGTGACGACAACTTTGGACGCAATTATAGCTGAGAGTAAATTGTGATACATGTTTGGATGAGGTCATGAGACAGAAGGGCTCATTTTCAAACCAGCTGCATAAATTAGCAGTTTTAGGGTGTAAATTCCTAATTGGAAATATTTAAGACAGAAGCACTGACTAATTCAAGCCAGACTTCTTCAAAACGCTCAGTGAAACATGCACTGGCAGACAAGTAGAAACTATGTGAAAATGCTTTTAAAACTGGGAACAGGAAGCACATCTGTACACTCAGGGTTGCGGGAGCCTGGAACAGGCTGCCCAGCCACATGGTGCCTTGGCTTCCTTCAAGAAGCTACTGACAGAGATCCTTGGATCACCGATCTACCAACGACCACGCGTGCCGGCTCGGCCGAACGCCCGCCGGCGACATGTCCCCCGTTCTCCAGCCCGACGCGGCGGCAGCGCCCATGTCTGACCTGTGGGGTGCTGCCCCAGTGGCTCATCTCCTCCCGCAGCCCCTCCACCTGCAGACGCAGGGCGTGCAGCTCCCGCGCATACCGTCGCCAGGGGAACAGGGTGTCCTGCAGCAGGGCGCAGGCCTGGCACGCCCACACAGACAGGAAGACAGGGTGAAACACTCGATAACCCTCCCCTGGACTGCTCACAGCTAATTAGCAGATAGCAGCCAGCAGCCATATCACCCTGCAACTCACAGCTGGCAGCCCACTGAAGCCCAGCAGGTCTGAGCCTGGTCAGTACCTGGATGGGAGACTCCTGGGAAAACTAAGGTTACTGCTGGAAGAGGTGTCAGTGGGGCCAGCAGGGGGCG